TGCGACAACGGAGGTCGGGGCGTGCAGCTCCTTCAACACGGTCCACGCCTTCGGACCGCATTCAACCTCCGGCAGCAGGTGCATGACGTGGTGACGCTGGTTCAGCTCCAAACTCTGCGACATCAGATAGTAGCCAGCCGAGGAGCGCTCGTCCCAATCTTCCTGCAGCGTGGGGTCACTCGGTCTAGGCTCCTCCCCAATCATTAGTTTCAGCAAACCGATCTGACGGAAATATAATTGCATTTTCCAGGCCCAATCATCATAGCCCTCACCATTGAACTTCTCGACGGTGAAATTCTTCAGCACCTCCTTGACAAGCGAGCCCTGGTTTGTTCGCGCTCCCCTTGGCGCTGAAAGACCAGAATCTTGGCTGCCGCTACGATCTTGGGCTGAAGATTCACCAGCTCCCGCCGAGGTGTTGCCCGCCATAGCTACCTATAACGAGGATCACTATAACGCAGCTCTGATACCAGCTTGTTGGTGTAAGGGCCTAATAAACTCAAGCTATTAGGACTTAATCAAACTTAAAACCTCTCCTCGGGGTCACCTCCAAGGGTCCCTGGGTGCCTGGCACAAGACCAGCCCCTATCCTCGGGTCCGAGTTTGTAGAGAGAGGGATCAAGGACTTAGTCAAAACAGCAAGAGTACCTTGAACGTCGCGCAGCGTGCCGTGCAGACCGTCGGTCGGATTAAGCTGAGAATTCGCTATATCGAAGCTCGCTCCAAGAGCTTTAAAATGAGCCAAGTTGCCTCGCGAAAAGTTCTGCCATTACTAAGTTCTGGCTCGGACAGCGTTTGCCTAGCGTTGGAGTGCTAGCATACTAGCGTTGACTCGGGTAGCATTCCGCCGTCGAATAGCGCAGAAACGAAATTCCAGCGAGGAAGGAATTCGCTTGAATCAATTTTACTATATTCAGGTACAAACAGAGAAGGATTAAATAGTTCTAGCTAGCAAGGACCTTGGGAATCAACCTGGGAACAACCAGGGATGATCCCAAATAATTCCAAGCAACAGAACCAACCTGGCTAGACAAAATAGCAGGTGGTAGGTTGGTAAACAACCTCTGGTTCTGTTTTTCCAACCTGGGAAAAACAACAACCAGGTTCAGGTTCTAAAAACAGAACCTGTTTTGTCTTTGCCCAACCAGCCAAATGCTGGTTCCGCTGGTTTCCCCTGGCCTTGTAGCATGCAGATACAGACAAACAACATCCAACCTTCACCTAAATTGTACCCCTATAGTGCCTCCCCTGCTACACTATAGTTAACCAAACAAAACAGTACAATTCCGAGTTGGATAGAACTGAATCTGCGCAATCAACTCAACCGAACTGCAAAGCTTCCATCTTGGGTTCCTTTGCGAGCTCGTCCTTTCTGCTTGCACTGTTCATAGCGCATACAATGTTGTGCCGAAGCGCACATTGCGCGAGTACCTGCAAATGCATCAAGCGAAAAATGCGAAAGCAAACAAACACACGAACACACCATTCACACGCAAATGCATTCGCACACGCATACTCGTACAAACAGACGGCAGGATGTCGTGCAATGTGCATTTGCATCCAACACTTCGCGCAGCTTCATGTACCATTGCCTAGGGGCCTGCTTCAGCCCATAGAGGGCCTTCTTCAGCTTCCACACTCTGCCGCTACCGTCATCAGACCCCTCTGGCTGCACCATAAAAATCTCCTCCACAAGGATTCCGTTGAGGAACGCCGTTTTGATGACCAGTTGCTTCACCACCCAACCTTTGATCGCGGCACCCGCGAGTAGGGTTTGGAGCGTCGTCGGCTTCACCACAGGAGCAAACAGCTCATTGAAGTCCACCTTGTCCTTTTGCTGGTAGCGCTCAATCATGCCGTTAGCGTCTGACATAATTTTGAAGAGCCACTTGGACCTTATTGCCGTACGCTCTTCCGGTAGCTCCACCAATTCAAACGTGTCGTTCTCCTAGATGCACTTCAGCTCACTCTCCATGGCCTTCTTCCACTCCTCAGCATCACTACTCTCCAAGGCTTCCTTGAGAGTTGCTAGTTCTCCCGGCATATCCACCGGAGAGTAGAACGGGAAGGCACACTCCTCGTAGTCACTCTCCTCGTCATCCCCGACCATCATTGCCGCTGCGGCAAGAACCGACTTGCCCGGCTCTCTTGGCGCATCATATGTCAGCCTCTTAGAGGGTTGAACATTCCTTCCTCTTGACCCTTCCTTCCTCCTCAGCTGCAGGGACTTGAGGGCCTTCGCGTTGCTGCGGTGTGGCTCGGATCCGTGGAGCACTCGTAGTGCGGGAAGGGAGTGTCGGTGTACGCTCGCTTACTTGCGGCACCTCCTTCTCTTTTTCCTCCGCATCCTTGGCCTCCTCTCCCCCATTCACAAGGGAAGATTGCCTTGTGGTAGTGCTGCCGCTGCTCTGATCCAAAGGCAGCTCCACATGCTCCAACCCGGAACTCTTCACCTCTCCAAACCGCACGCCTATCTTCGCCTCATTCTCCGCCTTCCAATCCTTGTACATGAAGTTCTCCATGAACTTGCAGTCCTTGATGACCAAGAATTTATTGTTGATTGGGTCCCAAAGAAGCCACCCCTTGCTGTTTTGAGCCATGCCCAAGTGCACGGCCCATATCGCCTTGGCACCAAGCTTGTTGTGCCGAAGATGCTTAGGTACGAGCGCCATGCACATGCACCCGACACCCAAAGCATATCCACCTTTTACTTCCTTCCAAGCCACTCCACATAGGGCACCCATTTGTCTGCTCCCACATGAGTCAAGGCTCTGTTCTTGGCCACACACGCGCTCCGCACCGCATCAGGCCAAAAGTAGTCGGGTAGCCCGGCTTCAATGAGCAACCCGCGTGCCGCCTCCGTTATGGTCCAGTTCGCTCGCTCGGCGATGCCGTTCATTGCAGGGGAGTATGGCATCGTAATGGAGTGCCTTATGCCACTCCTTGCTTGCTCAGGAACTCTCCCCCTCGATCGGTGCGGATCGACTTCACAAGTCGGTCTTGTTGCCGCTCCACCATCGGCAACCAATCGGTCTTTACCGTTTCAGCCACGTCACTCTTCTTGGCCAGCACGTACACCCAAGTCATGCGGGTGTAGACGTCCACAATGGTGAGGAAATACTCAGCTCCAGCAGCTCCAAGCTTCAGGGGGCCCACCACGTCCATCACCACCTCATCAAGTGGTGCCTTTGCCGTTGTCTCCGAGCTCGAGAACGGGAAACGGGTGAACTTGGCTTGCATGCACGTCGGGCAGCCAAGTACCTCATCGGGCTCCCCGTTGACACGTATGCCAGCAACCATCTGGTTCTTCACTAGCTGCTGCAAGATGGGCAGGGCCACATGCCCCATGCGCCGATGCAAAGTCAACCAATCACACTCCCCCGTAGCCGAAGTCGGATTGGAGAATGCCGCGCTCGCAATAGCGCCCCACATACTATCTTCGTAGTCCTTCTCCTTTGCTGCCGCCTCGGGGTTCTCCTCACCCTTGTGCTGCTCCTTGGCTGCTGCACCACTCTCCTTAGGTTCACCAAGCTTGTTGGTCACTCCAAGTTTGCTCTTCTTGGGCTCATTCTCCTTAGCGCGACCGTTCGCGCCATCGCCGCTACCAACCGCTTCACCCTTGGTGCTGACGCTTGCTGCCACTTGCCTCTCCTTAGGCATAGGGACCACAGGGATCTGCCACATCTCGTTGTAGACATCTCTGTCCTCGTGAAGGTCCCAAAGAATCTGGTCGCCAATCCTTACGGTGTAGATTTTGGTTTCCTTCGAGTTCGTGTGCATTCCGGCCTTTGCCAATCGCCGCATGAAAATCAGGTTCTCAGCAAGGCGGGGCACCCAAAGCGCGTTCTTGAGGCCCAACATCTCTCCATCTGCACCCTTGAACATGGCCTTGCCCATGCCTTTCACCTCCGCTCGCTGCCCCAAAGCCGATGTGACATGCTTCACCGGTGACGGTTCAAGTTCGGTGAGCAAGTCCGCGCGATGTGTCATGGAATAGGTAGCGCTGATATCGATCACCCAATAGTCCAGGGGGTGTAGGGTCAATTTCCCCACAGCAGCAGGCTCCTCAAAGCTTTCGTCCTTCTTGTCAACGGGAGTAGGGGTTGGCCCCGTCCTCGCTTGGGCGGAGCCGACCTCGACGACCGCAGGTACCGCGGGACTGCGGGGGCTGCGGGAGGCCGCAGGACCGCGGGGTTGCGGAGGCCGCGGGATCGCGGGAAGCCGCGGGACCGCGGGGCCGCAGGGGCCGCGGGAGGCCGCGGGACCGCGGGGCCGCGAGGGCCGCGGGAGGCCATGGGACCGCGGGAGCCGCGGGGGCCACGGGGGCCGCGGGGGACGACCGGGGGCCGAGGGGGCCGCGAGATACCCCGTCGGGGTACCCGGGCGAAGTGTGCGAAGGTCGCCGGGGGTAATTTCTGCGAGGACGACCTCGGGGGTGGTATCCCAAGGTCGACGTGGCTGGTGGGCGCCGTCACGGGTGGAGTGTCTGCGCTGGGCATGTGACGGGGGCGTTGGGCGCCAACCAGCTGCACGCACCTGCGAAGCTGGTGCACCGTTGTCAGGCGGGTGCAACGCTGTGCAGCCGACTTGCTGCAGCGTTGGCACGCTGCGGACTTGCAACATTGGCAAGCAGCGACTCTGCTCTGCTGGAGCGTGGTCGACCACATCGTGCTGGCACACGGTCGACCGTGCTGCGCTGGCAGTCGACCAGCAGCCTTGCTAGGTCTGATGTAGTCTGTGTTGCCAATGTTGATGCTATCATTCTGAATCGTTGTTGTAAACTTTTGCTAGTGAAACTCTTGCCAAAATTCCTTGTGAACAACAAGCAGTTCAAGGAACGAACGCTAGGGTCACTCTTGCCCCGTGCCTAGCCCGTAGTCTAGCTCCCGTTGCACTAGTTATCTCCGCACTTCTCTGGACCAGCCGGTACTTGCGTCGACACGAAGTAGAATTGACCCGGGTACCGATCGTCCCTCGAGTTCTTGTCGTATCTTCGTTCTTCATGTTCGCAGCTCCACCTCCGCGACCGTCACAGCCTCCACGGCCTCTAACTCTCCCTCCTCCTGCTCCTCTACCCTCTTGGTCTTGAGCAGGGGTCCATCCTTCAGGAAGTTTGTAGCAATCGCCCCACATGTGTCCGGTCTTATGGCAATAGTGACATTCGCCGTCGAATCGGCCACGACCATGTCCGTAGCTCTTGTCGTCGCTGCCGTAGCTTCCACTCCCGCGGCCTCCACTGAAGTTGCTGCCACCAAACCTCCCTCCCTCTCATCCTCTGCCTCTTCCATGGCCAAATCCACGGCCGACGCTCGCTGCCCCAGCGCCATCCGCACTCGCCAACTCACGGCGGCGGAAGTCCTCCTGAAGCATTGCGCGCTTCACGTCTTCAAGCGAGAGATGGGGCAGAGCACGGTTCAAGTTGGTGATGAGCGAGGACCACGACTCAGAGAGTAGGGCCAGCAACTTGGTCTTCTTCTGGAGCTCACTGTAGTTCAAATCAGCTCCCTCAAGCCGCGTCAACAAGTCGAAGAATTTCTGCACCCCTTCTTCCACGGGTTCATCTTCTTCAATTTGCAGTGTCGCCATATGCCGTTCCAACACCACCGCTACCGCCGCTGTTGCATGAGCTTGTACACCCTTGAGAGCAGCCCATGCCTTTGGTCCCTTCTCTGGTTCACGCTGGAAAGGCTTGATGTGACGGATTTGAGTGCTCCCCAACGCTTGCCCAAGTAGGAAATAGCCTTGTGTGCTCTTCCTGGTCGTTCTCGGGACGCTTCTCTGTTCCTTCCATCACCTCCAGCAGGTCATAATGGTCGAACACATTCTCCATTCTGAAGGACCACTCAATAAAGTTGTCGCCGTTGAACTTGTCAAGCCCGAACACTCTTGGTTCATCCCTTGAAGGCCCAAGAGTAGGTTGCACGGGCGCCATGGCTGAATCACGGGCTTGGCCTTGTGCTTGGGCTTCTCCATTGCCTCCAGCACCTCTGCCACCCCTTTCTTCAGGTCCAGCCATCGTCCAAGCTGCTCCAAGGCGCTCTGATACCACTTGTTATAGTCACAATAGGCTTCTATGTGCCTAAAACAAAGGATAGAGTGCACAGTCGGATTTCTGCACAGCGTCTTAACGTCGCCTACAACAGGCAATTTAGATCGCACGATTTCATTAAGAATTGACGACACAGCATCAGTTTGAACGAACGGCACTATGACAGCAACATATTCTTAGAACACAAATTAGGAAGAACTAGGAAGAGTGCCAAGAGCTGAGGTACAGTGATGTGGAACAGTGCCACACTGTCCCCAACCAAGAAGGGTCTCGAAACTACCCTCCACAAGGGCCTACACCAACTGAAATGTTACATTACACATTGTAATGTGACTATTTTCAATATCTTGAAGTGTACCCTTTTGGCGAGCTTCGAAATCACTTGAAGCTTGAAACCAAGGCTCGAGTTCTCCATCACAAACTCATCCTTGAGTTCTTGATGGGTTTGCTGCACACACCTGCGACATGCTGAACGTTCGACACATTCCATTAATAGAAACATCGCACAAGAGACACGACAAAATAGAAACCGCGCGCAAGCCACAAAAAACCGCATTTACACGCGGCTAGCGATAACTCGCTATTGACTCGACACACACACTCGACATCATGACCCATCATGCACACATTATTGTATGCATGAAATATATATTAGCTTGTAGCTCTAGAACGTGGCCACCATTCCTAGTTTGAATCGTATCAATAGGTGTAATTAAACTCGAAATATCAATCTCAGCGCACTTGGGGGTATGCTACAAAAACTTAACTCAATCACAATTCAAGGAAATTAGAGTAGCAATAAACCAGGTAGGAGGGAAGAGAAGGACGAGAGGGAAGGCTCCCAAGGAGTTACCAACAATGGAAACCCCATAAGCACACCAAATCCCTTCCTTATAGGCACCCCAACTTCGACCTTTGAACTTTCCCAACCCATGCCATCCACCTCACCAAACTTAGCCACACTTGCCAACCTGGTTTGGATTTTCCCAACCACTTGGCATCAATCTACAGTAAAGTGCAAAAATTACCAAAGTGGTCACAGCACAATCAAAACTTTGAACCATCATAACTTTCTCTTTCTTGCTCCGATCGTGGCGATTCAACAGGCCACTTGGTCCAAGCGGTCCATAGGTTTGACAGATTGGTTGGTACAACTAGTCTATAGGACCAACAGGCCAGTTGGTCCAATTGGTCTACTAGACCAACTGGATAGTTGGTCCAAATGGTCCATAAGACCAACAAGCCAATTGGTCCAATCAGTCCATTAAGATAATTGGTTCGTTGGTCCAACAGACAAATTTGTCTTACCGTTCCATTGGGCCAATTGGCCAATTGGCCTGACTAATCAATTGGACCTACAGGCCAGTTGGTCCAACTGATTCACTGGGCCAGCAGGCTAGTTGGTCCGACCGGTCCATTGGACCAACAAACCAGTTGGTCCAATTGGTCTACAAAACTGGTAGGTTAGTTGGTCCAACTGCTCCAGTGGAGCAACAGGCCAGTTGGACCAACTGGTCCAGTGGATAAATAGGCCTGTTGGTCTAACCAGTCCATTAGCCAACAGGCTAGTTGGTTTGGCCCAGAGGAACAACAGGCTAGTTGGTCGAACCGGTCATTTTAGTCAATAGGCAAGTTAGTCTAACTCGTCAATTGGCTGAACAGGCTAGTTGGTCCAACCGGTACTTTGGACCAAAAGGCCTGTTGGTCAAACCAGTCCATTAAGACCAAAAGGCCAATTGGTCTAACCAATCCATTGGGCCAATTGGGCAATTGGTCCAACCGCTCCATTGGACCAATCGTCCAATTGGTCCAACTAGTCGATAGCACCAACATGCCAATTTGTCCATAGGACCAGCACGCCAGATGATCCAACGGTAAAGAGGGCTAACACGCCAGTTGGTCCACCAGTCTACTCAGCCAACACGCCTATTGGTCCCACCAGTTCACAAGGGCAACATGCAAGTTGGTCCAACAAGTCCACTAGACCAATAGGCTAGTTGGTTCAACCGGTCGATTGGAACAACATACCAGTTGGTCCAACCGGTCCATTGGACCAACTGGCTAGTTGGTCCTACTGGTCCATTCGAACGACGGCCCGGTTGGTCCAACCGGTCCATTCGAACAACGGGCCAATTGGTTCAACCAGCCAATAGGACGAGCACGCCAGTTGGTCCAACCGGTCCATTGGACCAACTGGCCAGTTGGTTCAAGCGGTCCACAGGACCAACAGTCCAGTTGGTCCAACTAGTCGACATTGGACCAACAGGCCAGTTGGTCAGACTGATCCACAGGACCAACTGGAGAGTTGGCCCAACAGGTCCATATGACCAACAAGCCAATTGGTCCAACTGGCCGATTAGGCTAACTGGCTAGTTAGTCCAACCGGTCCATTGGACCAACAGGTCAGTTAGTCCAACCGGTCCAGTGTGTTGGAAATACGAATACAGTATAGCTACTGTATACTGGTATGCTATTGGTTTTAGTGTAGTCCCCTTTTTATGCTGTTGGAGTTCAACATTATTGGAGGGTAGAGGGTAGAAGTATTGGTACACCATTATTGTTGTAAAGTGGGTCATTTGGGAGGGGTAGATGGATGCATAAGTACCCAGCACGCTGTGTATCACAATCATCATTCTATCTTTCAATGATCAACATATTGGAATTGCAAGTTTTCTAACTTGTTCTTTTTACAAACATGATTCCGCTACGCTAGCAATATGCCTTTCAAGCATGGTATCAGAGCTACTCTAAGGGGCATGCTGCCAAATTCGTTTTTTGGAATTTACTGACATTCACTACGGAAAGGTACGTGCATACAGTCAGAGTACCGCACACCCGGTCTACGCGTTTAGCGCATACTTAGTGTGAGGTTTGATCAACATCATGGCTTACTTGGACGATGAAGTGGATGCTGGATATACGACTTTCGAGGAAGCCATCTTGGCTTAGCACGAGCACCTGGAAAACATGATCGCAGGAGCATCACCCACACTTCAGGCATCACTACGGGCCAAGTTTAACATGCCAACGTCAAATTCACTACGGGCTCAGAGATCCGTCCACTCATGGCAATCTCATTCAAGCACTCCTCGTACTAACCAAACTCGTTCATCCAGTCTCAATGCAGGAATTGATGGTGACGGAAAAAATGGCATACCTCAAGGAGGAGAGTCATCCCAAGGGAGAAATGCATCCGTCCAACGAGAGGAGGGCTCCAATCTCGCACATCAATCATCCATGCAAAGGGAAGTATGAGGGGGGAATGATGAGTATGGGAGTGGAGTGCATGCAATGGAGAATGGTCGAATGAGAAGTGGACAGATTGGGTAAAAGAGTGACGGAAATGGTGAAGTGGGCTTGGAAGGTGTGGGATTTGTTTCCTACACAATTGGTGCTCCCCCAATACGAAGACTTACGACTAACTCTCATCCCATTGGAATTCCTCCCATAGTCAGGCCTCACCTTCATGGCGGCAATGTCGTACCTCCACGTGCACCTCGTCCACCGATTGGAGTATATCCTGTGGACGGCATTGGGCGGATGGGATGCACAATGCAGTCAAGTTGAGTCATGCGATGGGATCAAGTCGAAGTGCTGGAACGTAGACTTGGTGGACAGAATGGAGATATGCGACGCACGGTACAGCTACCTCGACCGTCAACCAAGCCTACACACTTTTACCCCGCTCCACGTGAATACATGGAATACATGGAAGAAAACAAGGAATGGCTGTCACGCAAAATGGTGGGAGCAACGATGGACAAGGCGTTCGCCACCACTTTGTTTGACGGCTCGAATTTTCGCGAGTGGGCACCACGGTTTCGTATGAACGCTCGCGTCACAATTCTGTAGAAGTTCTTCGTGACCGTGCAGCATCCGGTTACCATGGGGAATGGTAACATTGACGACGCTATGGAGCGGCTGGGAATACTATAGGCGGATTACTCACAACGTGCAGCACTCGCCTTTTGGGTCCTACCGCACAGCGTGAGCGCCACGATTCAGCTGCAGCTGGACATGTTCCACGAATTCTACAGCCCGGCATATGAAGCATCGGAGTATTTAATGGACACTTACCAGGCCAAAAATTCGGTGGCGAAGGTCTCTCTCATGATGCAGTTGGACAACTTGAAAATGGGAAACGAGGAAAGGGTGGAGGAGTACGTCAACCGCGCAACGTCGATTCTAGATAAGTTGGCACTAGCGGGGAAAATGGTAGATGAAGATACCTTCACCTTCAACCTGCTTACAGGACTACCGGCACATTGGGAGGAGATGAGGCATTTGGCAATGCTACACAATTCATTGGACAGCTTCACCTTGCAGCGGATGATGATTCAGGAGCAGAGGTATGACGACCTCATCACGAAGGCTAACCGTGATCGGCGTCCACCTCGCATGGCTGAACAAGCCCGTGGAGGGGGTTCACCTTCTCCAACTGCTAAGGACGGCAGCGCGAACAAGGAGGGGTTCGTTGGAGAGAAAATGCAAGGCAAGGAAGGAGGTGCGGGTCGCTCACCTCTTGTGTGTTGGTATT